AAGTTCATCAAATTGAGATGTAACAGAGCTCCTTCCTGCAACACGAGCAGACTGCGAGCTGTGCGAGTACTGAGTTGAATTTGGGAAAGAGGAAAATTCATTGACCTTTTTTGCATTTGTGGAAGAAAATGAGCCTGTGTCTGACTTTGAAACTCGAGGTGGTCTTGGAGGCGGGGGTCTTGAAGGGGGTGGAGCGCTGGTAGGTTGGGTAAAGAGAGGAATCTCTGATACAGTGAGCCACACTTCATCAGATGTGTCAAAGTTCTCCTCAGATCTAGGAGTTGTATTTACCTGGGAACTAGTGTCATTAGAACTGACATTTGAGTATGGAGGAGGGCTAGTAGTTCGACCAACAGAGCTAGGAAAATCGGTTGACACATTGGGCATGTCAAAAACAGGTTGATGAGATTCCGGAAAACTGTCAACAGATGGCATCCTCTTCTTTGTATGATGCTCATATTCTTCATCAATTGGCTCTTTACCAGCAGGAGTTTGTGAACCACTTGCAGTTCTTAAAGGGCTCCTGTCCTTCCCCCTCTTATTGATCTCAGATGACACTGGAGGTACAGATTTTCCAAGACCATCAAGAGGATCTATATCATCAAATACTCCCCCACTTCCAGATGAACTCTCCACTCTTGACTTCGCAGATCCATTAATTTTACTTATTTCTTCCAAGGGGTCTGTAAACAACCCTGAGGACGAATCTGCAGGGACTGATGTTGATTCTAAGACGACAAAGGGGTCTTCCATCATATTGGGGCCAGTCTTGATTGAATTTGAGGCTGGTTTCTGGGACTGGTGGACATCTGAAGTTGACCTGTCCAAAGGGTGAAGCATGACATCAGCTAATATTTGCATGGTATACGTAAGCTAAGTAATATAAGGACAAGAGGCAAATAAGGCTACATTTGACAAATATTGAACTAGAAAGTAGAAACACAATCACAAGCTTCAAACAAAGTGTTTAGAGTCCAAATGTGCCACAAGCATGTATAGTCCTTTAATCCCCTTCCTTCTCACTTAAGCTATCAGTAATGTGTACTACAAGTTTCCAATAAAAACATAATCACAATTGTAATAACAAAAATTATTTATATTTTTTGCCTATTTACATCTTCCATGTCCATTACAACCAAAACCGATGTGTATGATAGCATTGACATTTACTAAAGTTTATAGTACAATATTTCCATATTTCTAGCAATCAAATATTTTCCAAACTCAAAAAGGTTTGTCTCATCTCATAAGAAAATCTCAAAGTTTATCAAAGTCCCTATCATCCTCACTTAATTCCAAAAACATTTGATAACCAACAATTAGACCTATCCAATCCAACCTAACCAATAAATTTAATCTAGGAAATTTGCCATCGTCAAATTTAGGAATATACAGAGGATGACAAGCAATTCTCAACTAATGAAAGAGATCACCGAGGAAGTAGATGACAGAAAGAGGGTTAACAAAGTTACATCCGTATTCATGTGATATCTCTCATAAGACATCATATTCATGCAAGTGTGAGTCTGGTTTGACACACACACTTGGTATCACCTCAAGTTACTCCAAACCTCCCGAAAACTGATTAGTTACCATACCCCACAGAAGCAAGAATTACAACTGATTCTGTATGGGGTTTTCTATGGCTTGATGACTTTCACATGTTAATTACAAACTTTGACACTATGTCATAGGTACAAATGAGCATAGCCCCTCACAAGGGAGTTGAAGAAAACCATGCCCCTAACTTCTTGGCAGATAAATACGCAACAAAGAATGTACAACTTTAATCGGTCAGAACCTAAACAGATATTCCACTACAGAACTACCTAACTTCTTATTTCCTTTTTCTTTTCTTTGGTAGGGACGAGGGTGGCTGAGAGAGATGAGTTCAATACATCCAATTCCATATGCATTTGCAGTGTATAGTAATTAAAAATCCCAAAACAAGGTACTTAGATTTAGCCCTCCTGGTCCTTAATGTAGGTGTCTATGGTGGTTGCTGCTCCAAATGAGACTGCGCAACTGAAAATTGTCCAGTGGGAAAAATACAGAAAAATCCACATATTATTTGCTTCAAATTCATTATGATATATCAACTTTTTACGTGCAACAAACTCCATACCATCAACATTCAGACCAGATCACAAGTCACAGTGTTGATAAACACCAGCAAAGTGTTGTTTTGATTGAATTAAATATATTAAGAAAAAGCTAACGCTATGCAGTTGATAACCAGACAATAAAGAGCCATTAAATGATAAATACCTCTGGAATCTCAAAGTCACCTAAGTCAAGTTTTGCAAGTAAATTGCCTTCTTTAATCACTTACCCAAAAGTGCCAGAATATAGTCACACAAATTTACTGAGTAAACATTTTTCCAGAAATGATTTAACTTGCAGCACACAAAACCAGCAAAACATAACCTTGACTAAAGTCTTACAGAAAACAAGCACAAATCAAAAACCTGTATATAAATTATACTCATTTCATTGACTGCATTGCCTCATTTGTGTGCTAAATACCGAGTGAGCTGCCAAAACCACAACCAAGTCTCAAAAACCAGAGACAAGACTGCACATTTAAGCATTACGCAAAATATCACAAATTGCCAATACTCTTCAACATGAAAGCCAGCACAAATACCTAAATTGAAGTATCCGCAAACAATGCCAGTAAAATAACACATAGCAAAAAAGTAGTATAATATTCATTTATTTCAAAATCAAAGCCTTATAAACTGGAAAATACCTTGCAGGTGCAGGAGAGCTGCTCCGACCGAAACCAGGAAGCAAATCATCAAAAACAGGCGCATCTTTCTCCGCTTTCACTCTCTCGCTCTTTGTCTTCGTGTCAGTCTCTTTCCTCCCTAGATTCCCAAGCAGCTCATCAAACGGCGAGCCGCTTACGGACCTGTGCTTAGGAGGAGGCGAAGACCCCGAGATCGAAGCAAAAACGTCATCGTACTTAGCGGCCGACGCTGATGAGGAAGAGCTCTTGATCCCTGGCAATCCATCGAAAAGATCGTCATCGTAAACAGGCTTGTCAAATACCGGCGGCTTCGGCTCCTTGAAAATGGAGTCGTAATCGAAAGACGACGTTTGAGCGGCTGTGGCTCGAGATTCAGAGGAGTATTTGGGTGGTCCACCAAATACGTCGTTAAAGATGAGCCCGTCGCGATCGTGATCGTCGAAAATGGCATTGGATGATGACTTGGCGTTGCCGGACGAGGATCGGGTAAAATCGGATCGGAACCCGTAATTCGAACCCGAAGAGAAATTGGTACCCGAAGAAGGGTTTCGAGGAGGTGCCATCGGGGCCGACTTGCCTTGAGGTTTGATCCCAAAATCTTTGGCTAATAAACCTGGAAAATCATCCATATCAATTCGGCTTCTTAGATCGGACCGGCGGTTTTTTTCCTAATTTCGTCGCTGATTTGCCGAATCGACTTCGCCCCTAAATTTCTGAGAAGGTTTAGATCTGAGGAGACATAAAGGAAAAAGTAACGAGAAGAAAAAAAAATGGAGGGTGAGGAGTCAATTGTCCAATAATTTTCAGCAAAAATATAGAGAATAATAATATCCTTTATTTTTTATTTTTTTGGAATTAAAAAAAAAATCGGAAGAGAAAGGGAGGGAGACAAGAAAATTGCGTTTTTGGCTACTTTTAGGTTTTAGCTGCTTTTCCTTTTCCCCCTTTCTTTTGTTCTCTCCTTCTCTTCGTCTTCCACTCCCTTCGTTTCCCTGCCCGACTCCAGACCGGTTTGTGTTTTATGTCTCGGTATTTTTGTTTTTTAAATGACCCTTTAGATAGCGAAAATCTAATGCTTCTGATATTTGTTTTTAGTGCTTCCTTAGCCCTTTAAACCTTGAAGATGTTGATTTCTATGGAAACCCACACACAAGTTTTTAACTTTTGTGATTTTACCCCCATGGCCATGAACATGAAAACCTCGCAAACTTCCAAGTCTGGCCACGAAAAATTATCAATCGAAATTCTAAATTTTCAAATTTTAGATATAATTTGTTGAAAATTCTGAACTACTTATTGATTATTTTTAATTGACATAAATTCGTCATAATAAGTTAATAATGAAGATTAGACTAAAATTTTATTTTTTGAGTTATCTTATTCCTTTTTTTTCTTTTATTTTAAAAATTATCTTATTTTTCAATACACACTCACAGCACTTAGACTAAAAACTCATTTCTTTCATATTTCATTTTAATCTAAATCCATATCTCCATCTTCTTTAATCAATTATCCGTTTTCTAATCTTGGATTAGTTATCTCTTTCTAATCTTTTTTCTTTTCACCTCTCTTTTTAGATGTGTTTATAGTTTCATTTGCTTCTAATCTTTAATTTTGAGTACGGCTAAGCAAAAAGTCAAGAACTAATTTCCATTCACATTGAGTTTTGATAAATGCCACCGAGTTAAATTTTTATTAATTTTTATTTTTATAAAATTAATATTTTATTTTATTTTAAATTTAAGTAAATTAAACTAAAAATAATATCAAAAATTTTTGAAAAATTCTTTCAAAATCGAAAATAAAACCAATTCAAACTATTGAAATTCAATTCAGATGGATGCATATTTGGTTTTATTTTGAAAAATAAAAATTTTTATGTATTTATTTTTTAAAATATCAAATCGAACTATATACAATCTTAATTTGAATCATTGATTTTTGTTGATTGAATTTTTGATTACTTTTCGATGTCAAATGATTGATTTTTATGTTAAAAAAACTTAATGATAACATTTAATAGGTTCTCACTATTTAATTTCTTTCTTATTTAACTGCATTTAAATATATGATGTTATATGAAAACAAATATTATTATGTGCTCTTTTAATTTTTTTTTCCAATGAAATTCACATGCGGTTAGAAAAGTAATAATTGTCATACATCATACTAATTAATAACGTGAGAAAAAAATGAAAACTAGTAAATATGTTGTTACTGTCATTTATTATTAATAACATTTAATATTCACCAAATAGTCATGAGGCTTTAGCTAAAGTCTTTAAAGGATAATAAAGGACTAAAGACACTTTCAAAATTAAAAAAAAAAAAAAGAATGATTAAAGAGGAAATGAAGAAGGTGAAACATATGAAGAAATGGAGCAAAGCTAACCATGTTGAAAATATATTATATGCAAAGAATTTTAAGTTTTTTTTTTTCTTTTGCCTAAGGCAAAAGCATGTTAAAGAGGCCTACAAGTGCGCTGAGTTTGTTGGTTGATGGCATCTTGACAGACGTCTAACTTTTCCTGCCGGGCAAAAAGTTGCCCAGTTTTGTCTTTTCATCAGGTGTTTGTCAAAATTTCTTTCTTTTCATTAATCATGCAATTAATTTTTTTCACTCCAGGGAGAAAGGGGAAGAAGCCTCACACCAAAACTCCATTCAGAGCTACAAGGAAAAAATATTGAAGAAACAAACGATGAGTTTCTCCAAGAAAGACAGATAATGGGTGGCAAGTCATGGACACATGAGGAGACTTTTCTTTCATTTTTTTCTCTTTTTAATAGTTTTGAATCATTCCTCCCACCGCTAAAGTCTTTGCCAAGGCCCAAGACTCTTTTCTTATTTTTTAGCAGTTTGAATTTTTCTTATTCAAGCTTTTTTGGTTTTAGTTCTTATGGAAGAGGAGAAGTGACATATGGCTTTCAAAAAAAATAAATTGAAAAGATTTAGGGATACTCGTAAGAGGAAGAGATTAGTCTTGAAGTAGGAGTTTGAGTTTGGGTGAAGGAAGAGATCAGTTTTGAGGTAAGAATTTGAGTTTGGGTGGGATGGACCCAAGACTGTACATTATAGAAAATAAACATTAAATTAAATAAAATTTTCCAATATAGAAACTAAATTAAATAAAACTTTATAATATAGGGGTTTTTTTTATCATTTTTTGTGTCACATTACATATGGGAATGTTGGCCCTCCATAAACTGAAATGTTGTATGAAGTATATAAAATTCTTGAAACATTATAATTTAATATAATTTTTACTTATAATATGAAGTATAAGGAAATCTTTTGTTTTGTTACTCTATTTATGCAATCCAAAAACAAAACATATAATGTCATGACATTATTGTATTAACTTTCCATTATATTCACTTTTCGTATTACAATTAGCCAAATAACTTATTGGTTCTCCCTTAATAAATGATAGCATTTATTCCATGTTGCATTGCACTCTATTAATATCTCAAGTTCTACAACTACATCTTTCATTGCACAAACACATAGGTTGCGTTTGGTGTATTGATGAGAATATGATTATTGAAAATGTGATTGTTAGAAATGTGATTGTTGAAAATATAACCTTGTAGTGTTTAGTATAATAAGGAAAAGTGATGATTTGCGGAGAATGTGATTGCTGAAATGATTACATTGTAATATTAAGTTTGTACGCATTTTATTGAAAATATAATATAAATTGACAAAATTACCCTTATGTATAACAAACATATAAGTTCAATAAATTTATAATTTTTAATATAAAATTTGACTTTTCTACTATAAGCAATTAAAATAATAAATAATAATATTAAAAAATAACATTATAATTTTATTTTAATTATTTAAATATTAAAATATACAAAATTACTAAATATTTATTTTCACCTTAAACTTATAAAATTTAAAAATAAAAAAATTATTCAAAGTAAAAAATATTAATAAATCACATTATCTATCGATAGATTATACTATCCATCGATAGATAAATACCTGCTGTCAAAAGTTTGAATGTAATCTATCGATAAATGAGAACATCTATCAATAGAGATATTATTTTAAGCCTTCTTGAGGTTTCCTTTCTCTCATAATTGTGACACCTAAACACCTTTCTTTCTCAAATTGTCTCAATTTCTTAGTAAATTTTCTCGATTCTAAATTGTTTAAATGTTTCTTTCTCAATTTTTGACATTAAAAACATAAATTTTTCTCAAAACACTTTCAAATTTCTTGCAAATTTGAATTAGGATTTCATAAAACCAAACGTCCCAATCTCTCTAAATTTTGAACTTGGTGGTGAAATTTGATCCAAATGTGCTAGTGATGAAGTACCTTTCCTACAAACAACGAGTAGAAGGAGAAAAAGGCAATGTGAGAAGAAAAAGAAAAAGGCAAAAAAGAATACAGAGAAAAAAGCAAGAAGGAAGAAAGAAAGTGAAAAAGGCAGGAAGGAGAAGAGAAAGGTCAAAAGGTTAAGTTAGGGAATAATTTTTTTTTTACTTTCCATTTGTAAAGGGAAAGTAACTTACCTTCCAAGAAAAAATGAAATGACATTCCCTTTTCTCATTGCAATCACATTGCTAAAAGATTACTTTCTCATCCCCGAAACATCAAACAAACACTGCAATGTGCTTCCCTGCAATTTAATTGCAAGGAATGTCCCTCACTTGCAGTTTACCAAATACCACCATAGAGTAGCTCTCCTCACTTGCTTGTCACATCTCCCTAAAAGACTTCATGAAGATGTCCACATTCCAATCCACATCTTATTTAGTTGCTAGCCCATATACTTCTCTAGTTTACTTAGTATCTAAGGCTTATACTTAGATCTCCAATTCTTTCCATAATCTCTAATTTTAACCAATCTCATCATCACGACAAGCCTTATATCTTCTAGCATTGAGTTGATTAATTGACATCTAGCTTTTATTATCACTCCATTGAAGGTCTCACACATATTGTTGTCAATGATATCATACTTGGAGAAATTAAAGAAGAATGCTTGTGACCAATGCACAACATCCCAATTCTCCATAAAATGGTTTTGTTGCATTCTCAATTCAAGCTAGTTTGGAGATCTAGCACAATGTCAAAACTGATACTTCAACTTTTCATTTTTGAACCTCTTCCCCACCAAGCATAAATATGTCTTGCACACCTTTGTTGTTCAATGAGAGGAAACAACTCATTAACAGCACAAAAAAGCCCTTATAACAACAAAATAAATTTTTTACCAATACAGAGCTTTGTTCAATTTAGTTTTTATACTATAAAGTTTTGTTTAATTTAGTCTTTGTACTATAGAGTTGTGTTCAATTTGGTACTGTACTTTGCAATTTGATGTAATTTGATCCTTATGACATAGCATAAAAATTGAAAAAAAAATTTTGCCATGTCAAAATCATGTTAGTATCGTTTGACACATCAGCACCACATTAGTGCTACTAACAATTAATTTGGATGAAGATAGTAAGGAGAATCCAATTGCACACAATGTTAGAGCATATAACTAAATTGATTAATTTTTTCATAAAGGGACTAAATTGATGAAAATGTCATTGTATAGGGACTTCATGGATAGTTTGACTGATGAAAATTGGTTGTTGACTTTCTTCATGAACCCCATCTATTTATCTTTCATCTTATCCATTTTCCTTTTTTAGGCACTATTCTCTTAGTTGAAGCTTAAAATTTCAGTAATAATAATAATTATAATTAACAGAAAAAAAATATAGATCAAGAATGAGAATAAAATGGTTGATAGAAGAGGCAAATTTATTTGCAAAAAGAAAAAGGTTAGGTTGGTTTAAGTAGCTTGGGGAAAATCATGAATAAAAAAGGTGATAAAATGGTTGGTTTGCTTTGATTGCCAGCTAAATAGTGCATAAGTTTTTTTTTTGTTTTAAAGAAATGAAAATATGTGAATAGCGACAAACTATGTAGAAAAAATAATTAAATTTTATTATTAATTTATTTTAAATTAAAAAGTTGGTTAAGTTGACAAAAACTTGGCTCAATTTTTTTTCATAAAATTCCACTATTCAC